GAGCGGTCCGTCAGAAGAGCTAGCACTGCCTGGCGTTACACTACCAACACACTTACTTGTGAGCGAGAGAAGGCGTGGCGCGCGTCCTGGGTGTCCGACCAGACCGGACGACTTGATTGAGGGCATTTCGAGAGAGCCTCGAGACCAAAAAACGGAAGTTGGGAGAACAAAGCCGGAAGCGACCGACGCTGCTCTATCCTGATTGGCGCCCTCGACGAGACTAAACAGCCAATCAGGGCAGGGCGCTCGCGATCCGGTTGTCTTCCGGTATATGTTTTTTTGTTGCGTTTTGTTGCGTTCGCTTTGCTCCATTGAAATACCCCATTGAGAGCCGCGCCCCTTTCTATTTTCGCACTACGCACACGCCGCGTTCGTCACCGTCGCGTCGTGTCGCGTGCCTTCGGCCGGAAGTATGCGACGGCAAAGAGCGGAAGAAAACACAGGGGACCGAAAAAATAAAATAAAAGTAAGGGTAGGAAAGGGGGGGGGGGCTTCAAAGAGCTCCGACGAAGTGAAGGCATGCCAAGGAGCGGAGGGCGGGTGGGCGCGATGGAGGGGGGTGGGGGACTGGCACATTTGTTGTACGCACACCTCGGCGCCCACCTCACCTGCAGCGCGCCGATTGCTCCCCTCCCGCCCACCAATCAGAAGTCAAAGTCACACTCGGAGCAGGGAGCGACGCGACTGCGACTGCTGACGACGCCGGGCGAGTAGGCAACCCATTCGACAGCGCCGCGCCTGTCGATGATGTGATGGCAGGATGACAAACTCTGGGGCAGCGGAACTCATCCAATGTTTCCGTCCGTGAAACGCATCACCCCCTCCCCCCCCCCCCCAATTCCCCATCAATAACAACGTGCGAGCTGAGCGGGTTGTGGGGCAGCAGAGAGACACAATGCGGAAAACGCGAAAACTAATGCATCCCCGCGGGAATATGCAAAGTTGCTAATCTAGTTAAGTTTGGGGTTGTGTTCAGTTCGTCGCGCCGCTGCAGACGAGGCCACCCTCCGCCGCCATACCCCCTCTTCTATGAATACCCCCCGTAGGTAAATCGGTCCACACCGACTATCCGCCCGCCCCAGTTAAGATTCGGGGTTCCGGGGTGGGGTGCGGGTTGCTGTGATGAGGGGGTATTGTTGGGGGCCCACTGAATTTTCACAGTAAGAGTCTTGTTTGTTCTACTGTTGTTTTCTTAAAGCAGCTCAGGTCAATGATGGCATAAGCTGTTGCTGTTACTGGTGTTACTGGTGAGTGTGGCAAATATTAATGGGTAAGCTCAAAAAAATGTATGCATTTCCAGCAATTTTAGTTTAATTGAACACATTTTGTATATAATTTTCTGCCTCGGACAATTTCATACAGTGGATGAGGCTCCCTTTGAATGTGACTAATACTGTAAGTCTACTGGTCTTCTCAAAAAACTGTTTCGCTTGTACAAAGATCAAGAAAACGACAATCAGACAGCTTATTCGGCTTAATCACAATACCCTTGACTAGACTGTTAGTGTACATTTCATACAAAACAATTCTTTCCAAAAATCAAATTCATGTGTCCTTTATACTATGCTAATATTCTTCCTATCACACCTTTAAAAAAAATATTAACCTATGGAAAGATCTCATTTTTACTACAATTGATCACAATGCTGTAAGTATATCAGCAGACCAATTTAATGGGCAATCCATAATTTCTAGTCATGAATCGTCAAGGTATTACTGTACATACACTATAAAACAAATTTGATTTGATCACCTCCCTCTAACAGCACTCTTCAAAGAGCAGTTGTTTCCCTAATCAAATTTTTGTAATTCCAACAGTTCAAATTGCTTTCTATATATTCAAAATACATGGTACTGAGTTTTGAGTAATTCTCTGTAAGCCAATTTTAGAGAAAGTTTAAAAAATAATAAACATTTTAAATTATTCCAAAATTAATACTGAAATATCGTCAACGAATTTCCTTGGTTGGAAAATAAAGAATCTGCTGGTGCCAGCACCTTCTGCAAATAGACTTTTAACAACACTTCAATAAAATACAAGCCTCTGACAGCTTTGTAAAGTTGATTTTTCGAATAGGACATTTTACCCTTAGTCATGATGTAATATCCAGGTGGCTGGTCTCTCATACATTTCACTAAGTGATATTTTCATACACATTTACAGAAAGACCATTGTCCAATGAAATGCTGGTCTGCTTTTGGCAGACTTATCAATTTAAAAATAAGTTGTTGTTTTTCCTTTTTAAGAAATGTGCTTCTTGTCAGATAAAAAAAACAGAATCACTTATTTTGCTCATCATTGTACATAAAAATTTGATGGAAATTGTAGAGATATACAATGCAAAATTTTGAACTGCGTAACAATAAAGGGCCAAATTTAACACAGCTAACAGAAGTTTTAATTCTATGGCTTTATGAAATGCAACCTCCAGGCATTATCATTTGTAACCACTTAGGGTTACAAGGACATGAACTGCATTAAAGCCTCTTAATTAAACTCCATTACAGTGCATGTAAACTTCAATGTCCAAAAAACATAAGGGAACGGTTTATAAATAAAATGACAAAACTAAGAGATTAGACTATCGGTACACTAAAAGAAATACTGTAACAAAAACGTCAGTCAGAAACAAGAGACAGACACAATAATAAAAGCAAATGAATCACAGAAATACAGTGGGCAGAGTACACACATCTAAAGCACGCTACACTGCAAGAATGGCCCACTAAAACATTCCAGCAGCCAGAGAAGGCTTTAACAATGCTTTCAGCAAATAGTCTTGATTGCTATTTTAAAAAGCAAATGCTACATAAAAATCAGCGGAAATATAAATTGATTCTTGATTTGAGCTCCTGTAGCAATAATCACTGAAACACATACATATAGGCCTCTATAAAATGTTGGTAATCTTGCAATGAATGCAATAATGAACCGAGCAGAGCAAGGTTGTCATTATTTTCAATTAAATAATAAAATATAAGCGTATTAGCATCAAAGCACTCATGAAGGGACACCCAGTCTGGTCCCTTTTTACACCGCATAGAATGTGCATCCCACGTGACCTCACAGACACATGTGTTACACTCAGTCGTAATGTTCAAGGCAATCAGTCAAATATACAGGCCAAGACGGAAAAAAAGACCTCAGCAAAGCATCCAGAGCTGCACTTGCTGCAACAGCCGTTTTGGTCAGGCCTCCCTTGTAGCCTCCGAAGTCGTTTTTCTTCTTTCTTCTGCTTCTTAGCTATCTCCTTGAGTGCCTTCACCTGCCTTTTGACCTCGGCCTCACTCATGTCCACAGGGCAGCTCCAATCTGTCATGGTGCATCCCTCAACCTTTCGGATAGGCGTTCGCTCCATGGAACGCAAACTTAGATGAATGTAGCTGTAACACAGGGGAATGTGTTAGTGACGGATATTCTGACACGGAGGTAACAGCAACAGCGCTGCTCACAGCACGGCGTCCGACTAAACTCACCAGGGCCTCGGAGCGGGCCGGGGCGCATCCAGCAGGTGCGCAAAGGGCCGGAGGGAGTCTGGCGGGCTGGGCTGCGGGTTGCCGACGGCGAGCCCCAGGATCCAGGCGGTCTCGTGCGAGTCGAGCAGGCCGCTCTTGATGGGCCCGGCCAGCAGCTCCACCATGGACATCCGGAGGTAGCGCACGAGGTAGAGCGCCTCGCCCAGCGCGCGCCGCTTGTTGTCCGCGCAGCTCCGCTCGCCGCGCCGCTTGCACTCGCGGTCCGCCCAGCGGGCCAGGGCGCTGAACAGGCGCGCCTCCCGCCGCACGTGCAGCGAGTCCCTCCGCAGCAGCGTCACCAGGTCGTCGTGGTGCAGCTCCTCCACCTGCGGGGCAAGCAAGGGGGGCACAACGTCAGCACGGGGAAGGACCAAGGCGGCGCGGAGCACGGCGGGGGTAGCGACGCGTGATCGCCGCGGGGTATCGACGAGCAGGGGGTAGCGGCGAGCGCGGGGCGCCCCGTGCGGAGTATAGCCACGGCGGCCCCGTCCCGTCCGCCCGCCTGGATCCAGCAGACTGGCACTCCCGCCAGACACACCCGCCAGGCGGGTCGGTCTAGCACCCCAGGCGTACGCGTCACGCCACAGACAGGTTCGATGACCCGCGGCCGAGCTACCCGACCCAACTTACGCATTCGCACTCGAAGACGTCGTCGATGTAGGCGTCCACGAACTGCAAGCAGTTCCAGTAGAGGGCGCTGCAGTACCAGCCCATGTTGGCCTCGACGTCGGGGTCCGGGAAGTCCTTGTCGGCGATCGGCGCCGGTCCGGGCTCCACCCGCACCCGCTGCACACCGAGGGAGAGTCGCATGGGCATTGGGCAGGGAGTTGGCCGCTGGGCCTGGATCTGAGGCACCTTGTCCTTGTCCTTCGCGGTCTCCAGCAGCGGCGTGCACGGCGCTGTGGCCGCCTCCGAGCTTTTCACCCCATGCTCGCCATCGCTGCAAATATTAAAGAAAGTCATAAAATAAATGAAAGGGCAGAAGAAGACACCAAAACTACGGACAGAAAAGGAGTTATCGTGTCAGAACAGTAATTGCCCTGCAACATCCGCACCCTCCCCTCCCTTGGTCCGTCCCCAACGAACCTGCCCTCTTCTAGCGGCGGCGCGGAGGGGGTGAAGGCCTCGTCGACGTCCAGGTCGTCCGGGAGGAAGAAGCGGATGGCCTGCATGACGCGGAGCACGTTGGCCGGCCGCAGGAAGCCGTCCGCCATCTCGACGCAGTGCAGGAAGAGCCGCGTGCACAGGTACTTGTTGGCGGCGTACATGGTCAGCAGGCACGTCTGCTCTGACCGGATCTCCGGCACGGCCCCGTACAGAACCCTGCAGAACAAAAGGTCGGCCGTCATACCGCGTCGTGTCCGGAGCTGGTGGGCTCCGGCGTCCGGCTGGCCGGCAGGCGTCCGATGCTCACCTGAGCAGCTGGTAGAAGGCGCGGCCGTCGATGTCGTCCACGCGCACCTTGCTGTCGTTCGCCAGGGGCCCGGTGAGCATGGCCTTGAACACGGGCGAGCTGGCGGACAGAACGTCGCGGTGGCCCGGGATGCGCCACGTGTCGCCGTCCGGGCCGACCACGAACTCCACGTCGCTCTCCGCCTCGTTGTCCAGCAGTAGCACGTTGTCGCTGCAGGGCAAAACGAAAAGGTCAGCTGGAGGCTCGGCGATTCCCCGCCGCAAAGGGTAACTTCACTCAAAAAACATCAGTGAAAACCGCCCCCCCCCCAAAAAAAAAGTGATAATCAGAAGAAGAAATCAAGAAAAAGTCGATTTTAAAAAGTTAAGATAAATGTTTTAAAAAATAAGAAAAATCAAGAGAAAACAGGATAATTGGTGTTAAGCTCGAATTTATCGTGAAATACCCCGGTTCTCGCCGGTGCACGCTAGAATTTAAAGTGAAATATCAATCGGTCCTCGCCGGCAGCGTATACTTACTCGATATGCTGCGTGGTGCAGCAGTCCCAGGTCGCTGGGTAGCGGGGGCCCCACAGGCCCCCCATGCTGGCGACATAGGTGAAGGGGCGCAAGCCCGCCTGGTCCTCGGACGGGGCCGTGGTGACGGCCTGGGCCCCGTGGCCCTCGAGGTGCCGCGCTCTGCAACACACGAAAACACGACGGATGGTAAAGAATAGTCTACGACGACGAGAAGCCCGCGCGCGCGGACGCGGGACGGGGGAAGCAGCCATAACGACGCGCCCATTACCGAAAAGACGACGTCGCCGACGAGCGCCAGTTTCACGGCGTTTCCCGGCACAATACTCCGCGGGGTTCGGTAAGCTGGCCGGCTTTATGCCCGCGTTAATGCCGACTCTACTACTCGTCCATGAATGAGTCGTGTGCCCGCGTCGCCCGCGCCGCCCAGGAGCCGCCCGCCGCAGACGAGATTCGAAGCCCGGTTGCGCTCGCGGCCGCTATCTGCACTAAGCCTTACCTCTCAAAGGGGCTCAGCTCGGACACCGGTGATAATTAATAATGACAAACCACCAAGTTTTAGTTAAAGCGATAGGCGAAATCTTATTGACAAACCAGTGGCAGGTAGTAGCAGGGCGTCGGCATTCGCCGGGGCGATGCGGAGCGCGAGCGCGGCGCCGCCGGGCGGGGCGGGGCAGGGCGCGGCGGGCGCGGCGGCGGCGGCGTTTACTCGCGGACCTGCCCCGAGGCGCGGTCCGGCCGCGGACACCACGGCTTTGTTTTGTCGCGGGTCCCTACGTGCGGAGAGGCCGGCGATACTCCATTGTGTCGCGTTTTATCGCCAGTGTCGCCGATCATATGTTGTCATCCAGCAGCCGCCGGCCGCTGGACCATTGCGTCACCGCGAGGGGGAGCCGCCAGGGCCGCCGCGAGGACCACGCGCGGGACACGACGACCTCGTCAAGGACCGCGTCCAGGAGGACCAGGACCCCGCCGACGTCCACGCGGAGGTGGACCCACGCTGCACGCACCGCGATGGCCTCCTCGACTCGGTCGGATTTGGCGCGAAAGCGCGGCTTGTTTAACGGCCTTCCGGCCCGCGGCTCCGCGGCTGACCGAGTAGTGGGGCCTAAGCGGATGGGTGCCGACCGACAACCTCCACTCGCGGACGCATAAACCATCACGCACGCATACGCAAACTGCAACACTGGGAGCGCGTGAGCCAGTAGTTTGCCCCCCGCGCCCCGCGCCCCTCTGGCGATACCACAGAGCGACCCCCCCCCCCCTTTCCCAAATCAGCGCGCGGGGTAGCGACGGTGAAAGGACAACAAATTCGCCCTCGACGCCGACGCGACGCCGCCTCCTGCCCTGCGACCGAGACAAAGATGTGGGTCTCACACGACGACATCCTGGGCGGATGTGTCGGCGAGGTGTCCGCGAGGTGTCCGCGAGGTGTCCGCGACGGCCGAATGAGGCGCCCCCTTTGTCTGGTGAGAGATTATTGGCGGTTTTATTCCACGCGTGGCGTGGCGTGGCGTGGCGTGGCGCTGAGTCACGAAGAGCGGCGTGACCAATTAGCGACCAGGGAGGAATCTGGAGCCGCGGCGCGCGACTTCGGAGGACAGGAGCGCGAGCGCGTCGCCGGCGCCGCGCCGGGCGGGGCGGGGCTGGCGGGCGGGCGCCACTCGAGGAGCGAAAACCATCACCGCCTGGCCGAAAGACTGGTCGACAAAGCCCACCCCACTACTAGAGTGAGTGCTGCACCACCACCTGTATATGGCTATAAGCCACTTGAGTCGATCTCGATTCATGTAATAATAACCTGTAATAACCTCTTACGTATCGCTCTCAGCATGCAGCACACGGACCGAATACCGCGTCCGGAAGGCGGATCTAAAGTTTATCTCACTCGTGCATGTAAGTACAGTACACGCACTGCAACGCGATCGTCACTGTAGCGTTCCAGGACACTGACGGGAAAGGGTAAGCAAGCAGAGTCCTGGGGGAAGTCCCGCAAGATCCGTCTGCAGTTTTCTTTTCTGCATTTTAATTTTTCCTTGTACCCTATAAACCACTGGTGTATTTATTGACTGTTAATCATTGAGTGTCATCATGTATGAAGCATGAAAAGCTGTAAGCTGCTCATTAACATAATTTACTTATTTGCTCCTGGTCTAATAATTATGACATGAATAATAATTAAATGAATAAATACCGCTCCCACTGCTGCCCGCGACCTGCGTGACCTCGCAGACACCGCGGAGGAAATGACGTAATGTCGCCGGGCTTGTCCTTTAGGACAGGGGTCCGGCTGCGACGGGTCGCCACAGGCCGGACCGGACACGGACAGGCGTAACGGATGTATCGAAAGCTACACAAGCACAAAGGCTTATCGCTCGTTGTGCCTCGTGTGTCACTTGCTGCACACTGCCGGAGAGGAAATCTCATGACGAACGCGTCATCCGTCAGCCGCAAGCAGTCGCAGGGGGGGCACGCGAAGGGCGGGGAGTAGGCGAGAGAGGGGCGCGGCGGGGAGGCGTTCGAGGCTCCCACGGTAGGGCAGGGCAGGGAGGAGCTGCTGTGTTGTGTTTGCACGGCTGGAGCTCGCGGAGGGGTGGG